GATATAATTAGTTAAGATGAGGTCATACTGGATTAGTTTGGGCCCTGATCCAATAACTGGTGTCCTTATAAGAAGAGGAGATTTGGACACAGACACGCAGAGGAGAAGGCCGTGTGAAGACAGAAGCAGAGATGGGAATGACGCATCTACCCGCCAAGGATTGCCAAGGACTGCGGGCAGCCACCAAAGCTGAGAAGAGCAAGGAAGGATTCCCCCCACCCCACCCCAGAGGCTTCAGAGGGCGTGCAGCCCCTCTGACACCTTGATTTTGGACTTCTGGCCTCCAGAACTTCGAGAAGGTCCATTTCTGTTGTTTTAACCCCCCGCCCCCCAGTTTGTGGTCCTCTGTTATGGCAGCCCCAGGACACTTGTACAACCACAGAATGTCACGCTGAGGGCAGTTGAGGAAAACAAGAAGGAAACGTAACAGGCACACAAAGCAAGAACTGGAAGGGACCAAGGAGGAGACGGGAAGAAGTGCTCCCTCAGCGTCTTCTTCTCCCCGGGGGTCAGGAAACCCCGGGAGCCAGTGGCCCAGCCTTGCCGCTCTCCTCTGAGCTGGAGTGCATGGGGCTGAATGTTGGGTGAATGGAAGTGTTCAGATCTTGCTGGTCCTAGGGAGCCCTTGCTGATAAGAATAACAACCCTGTGGCGTGGTCTTGTATCAACCTCATAACGCACGAAGCTGGCTTTGTTGAGATTTCCCCCCTGTAGAGATGAGGAAGCAAGGCTGTTAGGTGCCCGCTCAAGGTCGTTTGCCCGGAAACAGCGATCTGGGGCACACGGCCAGCTCTCCTGCCCCATAGCCAGCATTCTGCCCTCTCCGGCTCCCGAGCCAGTACCCAGTGCCTCACTGGGGTTAGCAGGGGCTGGCTGTGGGCAGGGTCCCTGCAGCCCAACCGCCTGGGTTTGGACCCCAGCTCTGTTCCTGGTTAGCTGTGTGATTTGGGGCAAGTCACAGTACATCCTGTTCGGCATCTCTCTCCACTGAAAAACTGGGGACAATAATAAGACCTAAGTCATAGGGTTGCTGGAGAATTAAGTAAGTTCATATGTTTCATTTATTTTTATTTATTTATTTGAGGGAGGGAGGGAGAGGGAGAGCACAGAGGGGGAGGGAGAGGGAGAAGCAGACTCCTCGCTGAGCAGAGAGCCTGACGTGGGGCTCGATCCCAGGACCCCGAGACCATGACCTGAGCCGAAGGCAGACGCTTAACCGACTGAGCCACCCACGCGCCGCAGCTCATATGTTTCAAGTGCTTAGAATAGAGCTTTGGCACATTAGAAGCACAGCCATGAAAGTGTGAAATGAATAAAACACTCTGGTGGGGGCACCCTTCCTCCGGGGTCGGGGCCAAGGAGAGCACCGTTGCATGGTGAAACTGTCTTATTCTTCCTGCACAGGCCACGGGGAGACCAAGGCCAATGCCATTCTCATGCAGTCCTTGTCTGTTTCCCACAGAACCCTCTGGAGACCTGCAAGCAAGGACCCTGAGACTAGGGAGCCGAGTTCTGCCTACACCCTGGGCAGGCTGATTCAGTTGTTTGAATCCTGACTCCAAGGCTGAGAACACCTTTTGATCCTGGGCCAGGCCAGCTTTCTCCTCCCAGAGGAGAGCTTGGACCCCTGCCATCCCCTCCACCCTGAGTCCTGGTCGGTAGCCTCCTGGTTAGCTGTATTGGTCACAGTGGGGGACCTAGACTGGGGTGACTCACCGTCACACATCAACCCATGGGAAGATAACGCACAGCAGCGCACATCCAGCGGATGGTGCCCCGTGTTGCCTTTACAGACGGAGCTCAGAATGTGCTGAGCAGCACGTGTGTGCAGCAACGTGTCCACCCTGTGCACGTCCAGGAGGCCCTCCTGTCCTCTGTGACCACTTCCCCACCTGTCTCCTGGGGGTCTGCAGCCTCTACTGGGGATCTGACCCTTTTCATTGGCCCCTCTCCAGATGTCTCTCTTACCAGCCACAAAGCCCCCAGTGACCCTGGAGCCCGTAGACTGCCTGGGTGGGGGCCCCTCCCCTCCTGCACTCAAGACCGACCAGCTCAGTCCTTAGCCTGGTGTGGGCACAAGGTCTCTTGCCGCAGCTGGGCCCCTTGGCTGACTTTCCCAGCTCCTTCTCTTAGACTGGAGAGGTCTGGCAGTGTGCCTGCGGGCGGGCCGGGCTGCTCTCCTGGGCTCCTCCCCTCCACGCCAGGGCTCTGGCCATAGTCTGGTCGGGGTCCTTGCCGACTTCTCAGCCAAACCCCGGAGTGATGGCCGGGAGGAGGCCAGTGGGGAAGCCCCAGTGTAGAGCAGTATTCCACAGCCATTGACTGCCCTGCCCCCACTGGGCAATGCCGGTTGGTCTCTCTGAGTATCTTCTGGGTAGCCTTCCTGCCAGACCCCCTTGCCTACTTTCACCAGGAGCCAAGGGACCCTGAAAAGGCCAGTGAAGGGCTTGAGGACCACTCCTGGAAACCAGCCTGCCTCCTTCCCGGCGCTGGCTCCTCTTCCTCCAGCCTCCTTTTCATAGTGATTTGGTAACAGAAAAGTTATGTAGAGGTCATCTCATTCATCCCCCAGCTTCCAGAAAGAATAGTTTAGGGCGACATTGGGGTTCTCTGAGGCTTCAAGCAAAATCCTGCACATTGGGTTGGCCAGAGGTCTTGCTGGAGTTTCCTTGGCAATTCTACGCCCATTGGGAGCACCAGCCCTGAACATCTGAGGCTCCCTCCTGCTGGGAGGTGGGATGATCCTGGTGTTCCCCCTGCAACCGCCCAAGCTCTCCACAGATGACAGATGGGATGAGAGCCCTAGGACTGTCTTGCAGGACTGAGCTGGCCTCTAATGAGTGGCCAGTGTGGCCCCAGCTGCCTGGGGAGCCTTCACAGCTGCTGCTAGATGGCGGGGGCTCTCACATGCAAATGTTAGCAGTAGTGGAGAGGGTATTAGACTTGAAGTCAGGTGATGAGTGTTCTAATAGATTTTCTTTTTAAGATTTTATTTATTTGACAGAGAGACACAGAGAGAGAGGGAACACAAGCAGGGGGAGTGGGAGAGGGAGAAGCAGGCTTCCCACTGAGCAGGGAGCCCAATGCGGGGCTCAGTGCCAGGACCCCGGGATCATGACCTGAGCTGAAGGCAGATGCCCAACCGACTGAGCCACCCAGGCGCCCCAAGAGTGAGTTTCTTTCTTCAAAGAGTTCACAGTCCAGTTGGGAAGAAATCAAGAAACCATAACACCATGTGACCAGGTGATACAGGAGTAGCAATGGTTCCATGTATCGGATGCTTTCCGAGGAAAGAGAGGTCTCCAGGACTGCAGGAGTCTAGGAGAGCTTCAGGGAGGAGGTGGGAAAGGAGGCAGCCTCAAAAGAGAGACAGAACTCAAGGAGGGGGACAGGGGGCAGGCTGGGCCGTTGGGTGGGATGACCCCAACAGGCCAGGACATGGGCTCACAGGGGAGCACAGGGGTGACGCGTGTGGTGGGCAGATGAGGAGAGCACCCTCGTGGAAGGAAGAGCATCTGCCGCATGGGGTGCAGGGGGTGGGGAGCTGACGAGGCTGGATCTCCACTCAGGTGAGAGCCTGAAGAGTACTGGAACCCAGCTGAGAAGAAAATGCCCAAGGAACCAGTGTGGCTCCTATGGGGGTGGGCCTGACCTGTGACGTAACAAAGGCAGTATTTTTAGATGAGTCTGGCCTGGATATGCCCGATGGGGACATACCAAACTTCTTGAAGTTCCCTAAAGTTTTTTCCATTTTCCGGGCCATTTCCCTGTTTCGGATCATTAGAATGCCCCCGTGTCCCACGTCGCCTGCCTGCGGGAGGGGACACCTGCTGTTTTGCCTTAGTTCACGAGTGGCTCCTCTTCTGGGAAATCACGGTAGGTCATTTCCTCCTGGGGGCCCCCAGCTGTATGCTGTATAACATTTTATTTTTACACCCATTCCTTTTTAGGATACTTCTTGGTTTTCACGTCTGGTTCCCCTTTCAGACTGTAAGCCTCTTGAAGTCTGAAATGCTTCTTGGTTGGCATGGATCTCCAGAATTGGTCACAGTGCCCAGAACAGGGTTCCTACCAGCATTGGGATCGCCCAGGAGCGTCGTTAAGGCAAGGGTCAGGCACTGCTCCTGTACCCTAAAATCACAAACACTGCAGCCTCCCCCCCACACACAACTTCCTGGGACCCCATCTACCAAGATCATATTGTGAACAGCGCCCCCTGAGGTTGTGCAGCACAACAGCCTCCTGAAGGACCAGGTTTTCTATTTCGTGTCTTTAATATCCTGTATCTTATAGATACTACATAGAGTTTTCTGTACGGAAGGAAGACTGGAGATTTGGGGGGAAGGAGGTGAAAGGAAAAACATTTTCTTGGGCGCCTGGGTGGCTCAGTGGGTTAAGCATCTGCCTTTGGCTCAGGTCATGATCCTGGGGTTGAGCCCAGTCGGGGCTCCTTGATCGGCGGGGAGCCTGCTTCTCCCTCTCCCTCTGCCTGCTGCTCCCCTGCTTATGCTTTCTCAAATAAATAAATAAAATCTTAAATAAAAAAAAAGGCAAATACATTTTCTTGTGTAATGTACATAATGAACTAGCATTCTGGTTTCTTTTTTTTTCTTTCTTTTTTTTTTGTAAGTCTAGCCTTGATTCAGCCTTTCTCTAAGGCTGGGCCTGGTCATTGCTATGAATGGCCTCAGTGACGTGTAACCCGGAGCTCGAGCGCGGTTTTAGCATTCAGAGCCTTAGCTTCTTTTCAGAAGAGAGCCTCGGGCCTCTGGTTCTCTGCAATGCAGCCTTCCAGACCACTGCTGTTGCTTAAGGCTGTGCTGCAATGCAGAGCACTCAGGAGTGGGAAGTCCAGAGTTCTCCCCGCTTCTGGGAACAGCCCCCCATCCCCCTCCCTGCACCAGCTTCCACAGGCAGTCCTCATGACAGTGGGTCAGGCTCACCCAAGGATTTCACAAATGCCTGGCCTGTTCCCAGCATAGCACAGCTGGGAGGGCTCAGCACTGGGGGGGGGCGGCGAGGGGGGGGAAGGAGCACTGAACTCCTCCCCCTGGGGCCCCCTGGTCTCAGGCCCAGGGCCCAGGGGCTGGAGCCCAGGAGAGGGAAGGGCTGCACTTGCCTGCGCTTGCCGGGGCGCGGGCAGTGAACCCAGGCTTTCCCTCCCTGCTGACTTCCCAGATGGGCTTAGTCAAGGTTCAAGAAGGAAATTCCCAGTCCCAGGAAGAGAGGAGGATCCAGCCTGTCTTCCCCAAAGGCAGCATGGAGTGATCTGAGAGTCACCTGGAGTGCTGTTGAGTATGCAGATTCCTGGACTATCCTCAGGGCTTCTGATTCAGGAGGAGCTGGGCTTGGAGTCTGGGAGACAGCAATTTCATCCGGTCCCTGGGGGGCTGGCCACAGGTGCTCCAGTGCTTTGGGGGGCCTGAGGAGGGTGTGTGTGAAGGGTGTTTAGCTGAAGGAGCCCTGGTTTCTCAGCTGGAGGGCCTCCAGCTCCCGCTCTCTTTCTAATTGGCCCCATGACCTTGGAAGAACTGCCCTGGTATTTTGGGCCTCGGTTTCTCCATCTCTGAAATGGGTGCATTCTGACCTGAGGGTAGGGTGATCAACTAGCCTGGTTTGCTGGGCTTTCAGGGCCGAACTGGGACAGTGCTGGGCAAACCAGGACAAGCTGGTCACCCTACCTGAGGGTGTGGGACAGGATCGTGGATGTGGGCCATACTGGAGATGTGACTTGAAGATGCATCTTCGGGGTACTAATAGCAATCTGTAATTATTGTATTTATATATTTACTAATTCATTGTCGCTCCCGCTAAATCTCAGGAGAGCAGGACAATCAGGGCCTTGTCTTGTCCCACATTCAACTCCCTGACACATGGAAAGTGTTCAATAGCTATTTGCTGAGTGAGCGAATGAGGGATTGTGGGGCGGGGGGCTCTGGGGCTCCAAGGACGGGGATCCCTGGACAGAGAGAGTGTGCGTTGGGGGGCGGGGGGTGGGGCACTCGCCAGCCTGGAGGGAGATTTGGCTACCCTGGGAGGAGAAAACTTGATTCACTCCTGGCCGGGAAAGAGTCAGTGCTTTCTGAGCAGCTCCCCTCGGAGGGGTCAGTGACCCCTGGTGACGGTGACGGAGGACCGCCTCCCTCCCCCAGGAGCCCCGGGCGCGCTGGTCCACCCTCTCTCCTCCCCCTCCCGGCCCCCACCCCAGGGAGGTGCGCCTGGCAGCCACCCCGTCGAATTTCCTGGCACTCGGCTGAGAATAAACAGCGCTCCGCGCCTGTAATCCCGTTGTCACGGCGACCGCGCTCCGCGGGGCGG